AGTAGTTAGTAGTTAGTAGTAGTAGTTAGTTAGTAGTAGGTAGGTAGTGTAGTAGGTAGTGTGTGGTAGGTGGTGTGGTGTGGTGTGTAGTGTGGTGGTGTGTGGTGGTGGTGGTGGTGGTGGTGGTGGTGGTGGTGGTGGTGGTGGTGGTGGTGGTGGTGGTGGTGGCCTCGGCAGTATCATAGTAATTGTAGCATGTAGGTAGTGGTAATAGGATGGTGGTGGTGGCGGTGGAAGTGGAAGTGGAAGTGGTGGTGGAGTGATGTTGCTGGTGGGGGTGATGGTGGATAGGCGGTAGTAGTGGTACAATAGTGGTTGTGGTGATGAAGTGATGATTGTGGTGGTGCTAGATACGATAGTGATGTAGTGATGATGGTAATAATGGAGAGAGATAATGAATGCTAAATTGAACGTTTTTGCTCAACAACTTCGAGTTATTTTATAAAAAATTTAATTACGGGGCCAATTGTACTTAGGAAACAAATGAAATTTGCCAATCGAATATTCTTTGACGTTAAATTGCCGAGGAAAAATATCTAACGAAGCTTAAATTGCTATGGGAAAGGTTTCTATACTTCCCTACAGCATATAAGATCTATACTTCCCTTACCATCCAGCCGTCCAATTTTGATCAAGAGAGTCGCTCACTGTTTGATCTTAGAACCGACGTCTCAAAGTTTTTTTTTTTTTATACAAATTGAATGAATATGAAATTTGGTACGTGTCATCTTCTAATTGGAGCGCACCTATAAAAAATATTAAAAATAATTTTTTATAAAATATAATGATTAAAATACCCTTTGAAACTTTCAAGGGTATTTTGATTCGTTTATTTTATTAGAAATAGTTTTTTATATTTTTAACTAGTGCGAGTTTAATATAGGATTGAACATACAAAATTTGGTGTCAAAATAGTATACAAAAAAATTTTAAAAATAAAATAGTGTAGAGACGTGACATTGTGATTGGAGCAATCTTGGCCCTCCATTAAGAATGGACGGTTGGATAAGGAGAAGTAAATAAATTTTATGTTGCAGGGGAAGCATATAAAGCTTGCTATAGGGCGAGAAATCAAATGGCGCCCACATATTTATTTGAGAAAATTACGTTAATCTGCATTTTATCTAATGTTATTTAAAGGGTACCTAGAATTTATGTTACTATATTTATACCTGGTTTATTCTGTAGTTCTTAAATTGCTCATCCATATTTCAGTTATTGGTGATCCGAAAAATAATGGATCATTGATGGGAGAGAGTACTTGTTAGGGGAATCCGAGCCTGGCAGGTTTTTGTTTTTGTGTTGCAGTGAGCCACTCGAGGGGTGAAATCTTGCTCTCTTCTGCTGGTCCATGTGGCTCTACTTGTAATGTTGAAGCAGAGTATCGGGTTTTGTTGCAATGGTTCAAGATTATGAAGTAAAAGACTATTGGATTTCTCTTGGATAGTGGAAGGTGACTAGCTGAATGTGATTAATTGGGGTAAAAAGCTTGCCAAACCACCTTGGATACTCCTATCAATATGGGCTGAAGTTATGGATTTATGTCACGGAGTTGTTATTTTTCATCTTGTTTATAGAGAGACCATTAATTTTGCAGATGGGCTGGTCAAGCTTGGAGTTTCATTGGATTTTATATTTGCTTCAAATGATATAATTGTTGTGTGAATCATAATGTTTTTTTTTTTTTGTCAATAAAATTTCAGTAATATTGTTATAAAAAAAAAAAAAGGAGTAGTTAGGTTTTTTTTTTTTTTTCTCACAAAAATTTTCATATTTTCAATATCCAAATTTAACAAAAAAATATAGGATCCTCAACACAAAAATACAAATTTTGGATTCTGATAATCCAATAAATTAATTTTAAAGTAATTTCAAATTTTTAAATTTCAAAAAAGTTTAAGTTAAATAAATTTCAGATTTTCAAAATTTGAAATTGTTGTGACACCAAGATGCAATTTTGGATTTGCAATATTAGGCTTTTGCAATTTTTAGATTTTTAAAATCCAAAAATTTGAATTCTTAGATTTTTCAAAATATGAAAATTGCAAGTTTTGGATTTTCAAAATCCTAAAATTTAATGGTAAATAAGTTTCAAAATCCGTAAACGTTGGGAGACACTAAAATGTAATTTTTCGGATTTTGAACATTTGAAAGTTTTAAAAATGATTAAGAAAATCCAAGAAGGGTAATTTGGTCATTTTTAAAAATTACATGATATGATTGTAATAACGGGTAGAAAACTGGAACAGATTTAATGGAGTAAAATTTAAATAACATTAAAAATACTTATACATGTAATTTCTCTATTTATTTTTATATTTTAAAATTTTAACTCCGCAAATCCAATCAATTTTTTTATTGGACCAAGCCCTCCACCGTCCAAGGGCTTCACCAATTCGATGGCCCATCGCTAACTCACCAACTAATGTTTTGGTTCGGCGTGACAATATGGTAGACCATCTAATTTTTTAAGGAAAAATTATGGTAAAACCAGAAAATATTTTTGATATTACAAAATGCTTGTTTGTGATTTATTGTTTATCAATTTTGCCCCTATTCCTTCTTTTGTAAAATTAAAAAAAATTAAATTTTAATTTTTCATTATGTTGTTTCGAGGACAGTCTCATGCTCACGTCTCATGCCCACCTTTATTTAAAATGGTCCAATATTAGAAACATTATGATACCTTAAATCGGATCGACTCGACTCATATTTGGAGTAATCCTATATGATCGACTCATATTTGGAACAATATATGATACCCAAATATCGTACCGACCCATATTTGAAACGATCCGACATCAAAAATGCCCCATGCTATCTTTTCTTTAAGATATACTCTTGTAATGTTGAAGACATTAGACTAAAATAAATATTTAAAACATCGTAACGGTATGACATTTTCAATATCGAACCATGGCTTTACATTTTTTGCGTCATCAAAGTGTAAAGCATTTAATGTTTCTAATATCAAACTGGACCAAAATAAGAGTGTTCGATATCGAGACGTTGATCCACCCGATAAACACAAAAATAAAGAAAAAAATAAAGAGGAAAAGACGTGTTTCCCCTCTCTAAAATAATTATTTCAAATAACCTCTCGTACCTATAAAATTCCTCAAGTTAAAAAATATATATTTAACCCCTACTTTTTCTATTGTCCCAATTATAGTATTTATAATTTTTATTTTTTTAATTACCCCATAAAATTTGAAACCTGAAAAATCTCTCTCATCTCTCCTTCTCACCCGTGAACATCTTCCTCCCTCTTTTTTTAGCAGCCTTATTTGCAAAAATACTTCTTTCTCATCTCGTGAACCGCACAAATAAATTAAAAGATGCATCACAAACTCTCTATTTATATGATCATATTATCGAAATAAAAATAGAGATAGATATAACAATTTGAGCAATAAACAAGATAAAAAAAGAATGACATAGTGGTAATGGTAATACCAGTACAATCAAAGGCCACGACCTCTATTCTCATTGACAGATTCAAAGCTTTAACCATTTGAAAAACAGGCAGGCGCTCTCCACCCCCACTAACCTACGTAAGCATAAAATTATAATAATAATAATAACAAGGTGAAAATGTATACAAAGAGACCATTTATTTTTTATTCAAGGAGGTCACAATTGTTATTGACTATTAGATATAAAAATTAGTGATATAAAATCGAGTTGACAGATATGTACCATTAATTGAGCACAAAACCCCACATAAAATTTCTAAAATGTTATGAAACATTTTAATTTGTAGGATTTCACATCTCATGGCTTTCTCAAATGTCATGAAACATTTTAATTTGTAGGATGTCACATCTCATGGCTTTCTCGAATGTTGTAAAACATTTTAATTTGTTCGATTTTGGTTGTGACTTCATTGTGCTAAAAATAAAAAGAAAAATTCATATAGAGCCTAAACTCTAAACAATTAAATTTCAAGTTACTTCAAAAATTTCACTAGAAGAGATTTTGATGACCAGATATCCTCAAATTGATCGAGAAAAAATAATTCCAAGTTTTACAAATAACGCATCTTATATAATGCATTTTTGGACCATCAAATTTCAAGTTATTTAAATTTCCATAGATTTGCTCGATCTAAATTATTTTTGAAACTTTAACTTGTATAGTTAAAGATGAAAATATATTTTAAAGCTAGTCAAAAATTTAGGGTATTGAAACCACATTTCTCGATACTATTTGAAGGATGGCTCTAATTTAATTGTTTAAAACCTCGATTCCATACAAACCGTCCCAAAAATAAATGATTTTATAGTATACCATCCTGCTACATGGGGTTATCTGAGATAAAAATTTTGAAGAGGAAGATACGTTCTTTTTTAAAAAAATAAAAAACCAAACCAAACTAGGGCAAAATTGGTAAAAATGAAAATTCACGAGCAGTAAGACATGTAAAATTTGGTAAAATATAGCGCATTTCGTAATACCATGTCCCTTCCAGTTTTAACCACTATTTTGCCATTTTAGTATATTTATATAAGGTGTGCTGTTTCTGTTTGTGGGTGTTCGGACTACTTGAATAAGTCGTCAATGATATCCAAAAAAAATACAAACTGAACACTAAAAAAGATCTAGGGAATTAATTAAAATAATTTCATCAAATTTAAATATATATATATAAGGCACATCATCATCATCATTTTAGTTTTTTTTTTTTTCAATTAATTGGATTCTGATCTATTAAACGCCCAAGGCCCATTTCTTTTCGGATCAGTTAAAATAAAAAAACAAAAAAGCAGCACAGAACTAGTTTAATCGAAAAAATATCAGGTACAAACCAGTTAAATCGAAAAAACAAACTGTATAAAAGAACATTTTCCGTATATTTTCACCCTTTCTCGTTGTTCTCTCCACATTTTACAAACTGATATTTGCAACTTCATTTTCTTGTTGGTTTTCTAATAAATCATAAAGCAGGCAAAGATTCGTGCCTCAGCCAAAACCCCATTTGATCATCCGAAATTTCGTCCGAATAATCAAAAAGGCCACCGAATAAAACCCCATCATCCCCTTCTTTCCCATTATTTCCTCTGAGGCCCTCCTCACTAAAACCAAAATCATGCAAATCATAGCCCCTAATCTCCTCCTCGAAACCAACCCAACCCAAACCAGATCTCTCCCCTCCATTCTCCAACACCAACAAATCCTCACCGTACACTGATGATGATGATGCCAGATTAATCTCATTCACACTGTCTTCAGTACTATTATTTTCATCGCAGTTAGGATCAAGCGTAGGAGGCAATCCTAGCTCGTCATCAGAAGCTTCCAGAAGGAACCCCAGCTCCGGCACGTCGCTACCGGAATCTCCTGATATTCCGGCAACCCTGCCGGAGTCCGACGCCGGGAAGCCAATCTCATCTTTCAAACTCCTCATTACGACGTTTACAAGCTCGTCGGAATCAGCTGGATTCCGGTCATTGGAATCGAGTTCATCATCGAGTATGGTTAAGAGGCTCTGCTTGAAACGCTTGGTTTCAGCCGTGTCCTCTGTGTCTTCAGGGCTAGGCCTCTTCCTTTCCATTTCAAGAGAGAGAAAGAGGAGCGAAGCGATTTCCAGAGCAATCAAGGAGAGAGAGAGGCGAGAGGGTATGAGAAATAAGACGAGATTTAGAGAGAGAAAGGGGCCTGTATGGATTTGGGGGTGGGATTGAGAAGTGACGGATTTAAAGGGAAGGAATTAAAAGGAGCGGAATCTCCCTGTTAGGTCCGGCGTAAATGAAAGGGCAGATATGAAAATGTGCAGGTCAGGCTTGGGTGGGTCTGAAATTAGGGTTAGGGTTTTTATAGCCTTTTGCCGATGGACCCGCCGTACACCGCGTGTCGAAGCAATGCTTTCTTCCGCCCTCACGCCTCGCCCTCTCTCTCTCTCTAACTTTTTCACACCTCTCTCTCTAACTTTTTCATACCTCTCTCTTCTCTCGAACTTTTTCACACCTCACTCGCTCTAGCTTTTTCCCGAGAAAGAGGCCCGGATCTTTCTATATCCGTTGTCCGTCAACTATTAGGTGTTTTGGATCATGGTTTCGGGTCCGGGTCCCACACGTGTCGTACTACCCAATCCACGTGTCGAAATGGCCAACGAGGCGCTCTCGTCTTCTTATCCGCCTCGGTTTCCTTGGTTGCCCACTCTTCGCACGTGTGAAGAGGCGCCTTCCATCTTCTTGCCACGTCTAGATGAAGTGGAGCGCAACTTTCAAAATCTCGAAATCACGGTCTTCAAGGGGCGGTGAACGTTACCTTTTTGTAACGGTCACGTTTCAGAATACGATGGAAAGATGTGTGGTTTCTATAAGATTGGAACTTTAAACCATCTATTTAAAGTCCACCTCTAAATTTAATTTTAAATATAATTTTGATATAAATTTTTTTTTAATGTGATTTGAAAATTTATTTTTACATCTATTTATAAAACTTTAAACTTTAAAAATAGTTCAAACCAAATAAACCTATGAATATATGAAAATCTTAAAATTTAACGGTCTAAATGATAGGCTCCGAATTTTTTTTCTTTTTTTTTCATATTGTACATTTCGACATTGATCGGGCTTTGTACAAGCTCTAAATAATTTTTTATGATGGATTTTTGAGATGAACTTTTAATTCTATATTTTTAAATTACAATCTCATATAAAAAATTTTCTTAAACGATTTTGGAAAAGTTAAATGGAAAAAAATTTAAAAAATGGAAAGATGGAAACCGAATGGAATCATAGTGCGATAAATGACCTCAATTTAACTATAACGCCCGTTTTTCACGTTTTTAAACATTTATTAAAATCAATTCTCTTAACATCAACAATAAGAACATTAATTAGACGAGACGAGGTCTATATTCGGATTCCTGACCCTCTGCCTTAAGTCAAAACGGGAGTCATTTTAGTGTAATGCCTGTGATTTGGATTTAAGAGCGTTTTTTTACTTTGATGTGAAGCTTATATGTTAAGAACCTAAATATAACATGTTTAGTAACGAGTTGGCGGGAACGGGTTGGGTTTGGTCAAGCGTTAGGTTATGCGTTTCGTTGGAGTAGGGTTAGGTTTAGGTTTAGGGTTAGGGTTAGGGTTAGGGTTAGGTTTAGGTGCGAGAATTTGCTTGGTTTGGGGTAAGGATTGGGAATGGGGGTCACGTCGTTGTGGCGTCTTGCGTGGGGGAAGGAAACACACCGCCTGCTCACGAGGAGGGATGTGACGCCCATTCTTTTTTTTTCGTTTTTTTTTTTTATTATTATGTATGAGTCCCTGTGTACAGTTAAATGCCAAAAGATTTTATACTCCTTACTAGCGTACATTGTCTATTTATCCCTTGCAGTAAAATTAAATATTGAAATAATTTCAGGACCCCAAATTTTCATCTTACAACCCTCTCATCGCAATGAAAAGAATCCTATTATTTATTAAAAAAAAAAAACAAGATAATGTTTCAAGATTGAGCAAGGACTGTCTAGTTTCTAAATGGTAGTTTCTAAATGGTGAAATCTAAGTGTACAAAAACTTGAAATTTATTTATTTTTTTTAAATAATCGTCTAGTGATTATTAAAAAGGTTCCTAAAATTTCAAATAAAATAAAAAATAAAAAATCCTCCCATATAGGTCTTTCGACCTGGAGCAGATTCATAGTATGCACCAATACGAGAATATCATAATTGTTAATTGTTCTTTTTAACTTTTATTTTAAAATCAAGCCTTAAACTGGTTATAAAATTTAGTGACTCAGGTGGGGAATTACCGATTTAAATTAGAAATTGGTGTCGGGAGCAATCCGTTTCTAGAAGGTATTGGTTTTAGGTCCATTCTCCCCCGAAACCCTTCCTTTTATATTTTTTTTTTTCTTTTTATTTTTTTTAAGGGTCCGGTTTGCATAGAGCCGAGGCTCTAAACAATCAAAGTAAAAACACTGAAAAGCATTGTGATAGTCTTAAAATATATAATTTTTTTTAATTATAAAATAAGAGCTTCAAACATAGTGTTAATCGAGCATATATATAAAAATTTGAAAATCCTGAAAATTGACGACCTAAAAATACGTTACAAGATGCACTATTTTCAAACTTGAAATCCATTTTTTTCTCATGTTCATGCATCTTGATGTCAAGATGATCATTTTGAGGATATTTGAGCAAGCAAATAACTCAAATATCCTCTGGTAAAATTTTTGAGGTGGGCTCTAATTTGATTGTTTAGAGCATCCAGCTCTGTATAAATTTTTTCCTATTATTAATGTTTATCTAATGCCTTTTTTAACCCCTCCTAATTCTCCACCACCACGAACTTTTATATTTTAATATTTTTTTAGATCATCGATTCATACCCATCTAGTCAGATGAATTGGCGATCCAACAATCCGACACCAATCTTTCGGTTGGACGATCTAATGCAAATGTGGGATTTGATACATTGCTTTAAATTACTAAAAAAATAAACATATATTTATTCTTAGGCTTCAGATATGGTCATCTGTGAGGTATCACAATGAAATATGCATAAATTATTAGAAATAGTATTTATAAGTTTAAAATTCTAATTAATATCATAATCATTGCGGTCAAGATTCTGAAGTTTAGATCCAAAATTCATTCCAAAGATAAAATTTTAAGGAGGCATGCGCAGTAGCATGGATATAACATTTTAAAAAAGGAAAGGCATAACTGTACGTCATAAATATTTGCACGGTGATCTTCCCCATATATGTTTTTCGGTGAGAAAAGACGCAAGAAGTAAGAGAAAATCGCCAATTTTTTTTTAGTATATTTGGATTGGGTGGGAGCAGCAAAAGGAGAATGGTATCACTTCCTTGCTTTTCATGATTTCCCCGGGATTTGGTTGCATCCAGGGAACAGGCTCCCACGGACTTCACTTTTTAAAAATAATATCATCAAAATGGTCCAATGTTCCAAACGCTTTAAAAAAGTTAGATAAAATAACATTGAAATTACTTTTAAAAATCTTTTGTTCCATCTTTGAGAATTTTATTACAAGCATGTTTATTTGAATCATTGGGCTTGAGTAATTGGTCAAATTATCAAAATACACCCACTTCAAATCCACATCACAGGAAGTTTCGATTTTTTAAAAAATAAAAAATAGGGTATTTAGGGAAATGATTTTTGTAAAAGGTGAAGTTTGTATAACGTGTTTTTTACACTATAGAAATAAGGCAAATCTTTCAAATTTATTTGATGATTTAGTCTTCGAATCAAAAATCTTATGATGGCTTAATTTTTTTTATTCTAGTTATTATATTTAAATTTTTAAAAATGATACAAATCAAGTACATCTATAAACAATTACAAATATCGAAAATATGTAGTCTAGATAGCTTGTTATAAGATACGATATTTTAAGGATTTGAAATTCTTTATTTTCTTCATATCTATAATAGATTAGGAGCTTTTAAAATAATTTGAATCACTTATTTAGGAAGAATTGAAATGAATGGTCCAAAAAAAAAGCTACAAAAGTAATCAATTTGTCAAGGCTTAAATTTATTTTATTTTTTAGATTCAAGAATGTGGAAACCAACATTGATATTTTAGATTGTCAATCCATGTGTAAGATAAATTTTCGAAGGATGAATGCATGAGTCAAGACCCTAAGTTCATCAAATTTGATACGAGCATATAAATCAAATACCTCCACAACTAGTTTGTTAAAACAACGTTCTAAATCAAGTCTGAAATTTATTATTTTGAGTCGAAAACTTAGAATATCCAAAGGCATTTTAGTCTAAACTTATCAAACTACCTTTGGTTCTTAGCATTCTAACACCCCAAATAAAGGGAATCTTGAGTGTCCATTATATATATATATATATATATATATATATATATATACTAAATTTAATTAAAGTAATACATAATA